AATTTACCAAAGAGAAGTGAGAAAATATGTCCACCAAAAGACTTATACATGAAAATTTGTAACAGTTTTATTCATAATAGCAAAATTTTATGAACCCAAATTAGTTTTATATTACTGTCTAACAAATTACCCCAAGACTTAGTGGCTGCAACAACAAATACTTATATTCTGACCAATTCAACAGGAATTGAAATGAAGCTCAGCTGGTTGGTTTAGTTAGGGTCTCTCTGATGTTGTAGTCAAGATGTTAGCTGGGATTTCAGTCCTCAAAGGACTTGGCTGAAGCTGAAGGACTCATTGCTAAGCTATCCGTATCACATAGGCTTTGGTTTTTAGCAAGATGCCTTAGATCCTGCCCAAGCGAGTTTCTCTATCTGCTGCTTGAATGTCCTCATGGCATGACAGGTGGCCTCCCCAGAAGAAACAACCCAAAAGAATGAGCAAGAAGACACAATGCCACTTAATGACCTCGACTTACAAGTCACACACCATCATTTCTATCACATTCTATTTGTTAAAAATGGGTCATAAACTATAGTGCACCCTCATGGAGAGGGTAAGTAGACTCTTTCTTGTGAAGAGAGAAGTATTAAAGAATCTGGGGATATATTTTTAAATCAACACAGATGCAAATGTCCACCAACAGGTGAATGAATTAACAAATTGTGATATTTTCATACAGTTGAGTATTACCAATAATTTTTTTAAAAAAATGAATAGAGTATCGATACACAAAATACGATGGCTGAATCTCAAAAAATGTTGTGCAGACTATAGTAAAACTAAACACAAAAGAGTATGTGCTGGATGAATCCACTTATATGACATTCTAGACTAGGCAAAACAATCTGAAATTATACAAACCAGATCACCAGTTGCCTGCATCAAGGAGTGAGGAAGCGATGGATACTGTCCATGGGCATGAGGAACTTTTGCAGTAATGGAAATGTTCTGTGCCTCCACTAGGATGGTGGTGACCTGGGTGTATATATTCACCAAGTCTCAGTGAACCATACATTAAAATCTGTGCATTTTATTATGTAAATTATACCTCAATTTAAAAGAAGGAAAAGAATAAATTAAAGTAAGGTGGTATTGGGTGAGCACATTAGAGGCTTGAGACAAAAGGTGGGAAATATGGGACACATTCTGGAGGTGGTGGCAAGAAGAGAACCATGTCCTGGTGCTCCTCAATGATGTAGAGGAGCAGTGGGTGAATTTTTAATTCACCACAGGGAGCACTGTTGCTGGTACATTTCCTCTTTATATCCTCCTACCTTCCTAGCCATTATTAATGCCAGTTGCTAATTGTCTGTGGGCTGTGGAACCTTAAATCACAGCAGAATTTACAAGCTGTTGCCCTCCATGGGATTGGAGTCCTGGGACTCCTCCCACTGTCACCTCACCATACCTCCCTTTCTATCTCCAGTGCCACTGGGAGAGAGGTTGGTTAGCAGAAAGCTCCATAGCAAAGAATTCTCTCTGATCTCTCTTGGCCTCACATGTCCAGCAGACTGATGGTGGTGGGATGTGGTTAGTGTATAGCCGTGACAGTCAACCCACCTGAGTGCAAATGTCAGCTCTGGTGCTTACTAGTTACACTTTTCAAAACAAGCTACTTATTCCCTGTGTACTTTCATTTCTTTGGCTGAAAAGGAATATAAAACTAGTACCCACTCCTTGAAGTTGTTGTGAGGGCAATACAGGTAAAGGGCTTTGAAAAGCCCTGAGCAGTAAACACTAACAATCGCTACTATTACCTAACACATAAGCTCTAATCAACTTGAAGGATGTACTTCTCCTCCACTGTTTGCTTTCAAATCTTACTGTGAGGGTCAACTGGAGGATCCCACCGGTCCAGAAGCTCCTTGTCTTGGGAGATGTCTGGCCGCGAGGCAATAAGGAGATTCTGACTTGATTGCAGGTAAGTTACCAGATTATTCTCCACGGTCCATCAATATCACATCCTCTATAGTAGAGCCACCGAGGGCACCATATTTGGAATTAAACAGGATCTAAAATCCTGGGTCTGGAATTCATGGACTGAGTAACCTTGGGCAAGTTACTTCACCTCTCACAGACTATTTCTTCTGTAAAATGGGGATGATATCAACTACCTTTCAGAGTTTTGTGAAAACCACATATTCAGGAAATTGTTTAGCATGGTGCTTGGTACATAGAAGACATTCAACGGATAGTAGCTAGTAAAGTAATAACATAATTATCTTCACTGGATTGTAGAGCAGAATTTGTATCTCATTCCTTTATAGCACTTATGACACAACTCGTTCTTTGGTGACTGACCAATAAAGAAATGAGTACATGAATGGATATGGAATTAATGAAAAGTGGAGAAAGTAGTGCTTGCCTTTTGTTGATATGAGAGGAAAAATAGGATAAGGAAAAGGCTTGTTTTAAAAGACAGAAAACAGGGGGGAAAAAAGAGGGAAAGAGAGAGAGTCAAAGGAAAATATAAACTAAAGAGATCCAGAAATAACATGCAGAGTGAGACAATAAGTTGCCAAATGAGAGATGTGTCAGGTGGTGGATGAATGAGGAATGGCAGGCAATTGTTGAGATACTTTTAAGGTTGAAAAAGGAATGATGAATTAAAAATAACCAGAGTAGCAGTTACCTCTGCAGGGGGAAAGAAGATATGATCAGGCAGGAGAGCACAGAAAAGGCTTGTAAGATACTGGTAATATTGTATCCTCCTCTCCCTTCTTAACCATCATTAAAACCAGTGGCTAATTGTCTGTGGACTGTAGGGCCCTGAGTTTTGGCAAACTGAAGAGAGGTGTCCATATTGATACAGGATTGGAGTCCTGTGTTTCTTCAGTAAACTTCAAAGGTATGTTTTACACCTCTCTTTTGTTTGAATAAACATTAATTGCCTTTAATTTCTAGGAGTCTTGACTATGTGTATTCCCTAGTGGTTTTCGTGAATGTTAAGTCCACACTCCCTCCAGCCTCTCAGCTTTCCCTAGCAAAGCCTGAACCTATATTTTGATTAAGGTTTATTATTTCAGCAACTAAAAAAAAGCTGTTAATGAGGCCAGGGTCAGACATACATGATCTGCATGGGATCTTCTGTGGGGGGAAAAAAATTCCATAAACGACATTATTGGAGCAAATGGCAACATTACATATGGGCTATAGAATAGATAGTACTATTTCATCAATAGGAGCTCTGGTAGCATACGTGGCTAAAGCACTTGACTGCTAACCAGAAGGCTGGCGGTTCAAACCCACCAGCCACTCCTTGGAAGGAAGGTTGGGCAATCCTATTTCCGTAGTGCTACTGCCTCGGAAACCCAAGGAGGGGTCGCTATGAATCGGGGCCGACTTGACGGCACATAACAACAACATTTCATCAATGTTAAATTTCCTGTATTTATTAATGACTATGTTTCATCTCATTTTCTTTGGGCATGCTGTTCCTAAAGAAGGATATCATCCTTGGTAAAGTAGAGGGTCAGTGAAAAAGTAAAAGACCCTCAATGAGATAGGTTGACACAGTGGTTGCAACCATTGACTCAAATATACCAGCAATTGGGACGATGGTGCAGGACTGGGCAGTGATTTGCTCTGTTGTCCACAGAGTTGTTATGAATCAGAGCTGACACAACAACACTGAACCTAACCACAGCATGTTTATATAACAGAATTTCTTTTTTCTTAGAAACTACATGCTGAAATATGAGTAAAGAGACATGATGATATATGCAATCCACCCTCAAATAGCTCAGAATAATATATTGTGTATATAAAGAAAGATGGAATGACTTTTTTAATGGCAAAATGCCCCCAATTGGTTGGTTTGGACACAGTTCTTTAGACTATTCTTACCTAAATTTCCTATAACTTAAGATTTTTATATAAAAAGTTTTTTAAATGTCATAAATAATGAATAGAATTGAAGAAGTATATAAATTCTACATTCTATTTATATGTCTCAATTTCAACACAGCGCTTTACTATTGATGTCATCTTATGTGAGAGGGGAAAGATTAAAAAATAATATGTCTTCCATTTTTCAGCCCCATCACCTAAAAACTGTTTTATTACAAAAGGTAATAAAAATTCTATAAATTGCAGTGTTTGGGGATCTTACTTTGCAACATTTCACATAATGTTAGGGTTTTGTATTTGTAGGGAAAGCTCTGTGTTTAGTTTAATAAATCATAATTATATTGTAGGAGCTCTGGTAGCATAGTGCCTAAGGCACTTGACTGCTAACCAGAAGACCTGCAGTTCAAACCCACCAGCCACTCCTCGGAAGGAAGATGGAGCAATTTACTTCCGTGGTGATATGAGTCGGCACATAACAACAACAACAACAACAATTATCTTGTGTAGCATGGACAAGGTATGAATGAACTCTCTATGGATGGCATTACTTCATACAGAAGAGGAAGCTCTTCTTTAATTCATACTTTTGGTCTATGGTTGACTGCCCTGGAAATAAGGGTAAATCAAATAAAACATGATTGATTATGAAATATTTATGCTCCTCCAATAGAAAATAACTCCACAGAAATATCTGTTGTTTATGATCAGGGAATTTGATTAAAAGCATTTCTTTGTTCATTCTTCCTGCATACCTAGAAGAACATTCAGAACTCCTACAGTACTCAGACCAAGATAAGTACTCAATAATTGACTGTTGAGTTAATGAAAAATAATTAATTAATTTCATATTTTGCATCAGCCTTCTTTGCCCTCAAAGACTAGGTAAGAGGTACCAGTATGAAATTCCATCTGTTTCTCAACACATCTATGGTTTCTTTATTCTCAGAAGAAAACATTTGATCAGGAAGACCAAGGTAAGAGAAAAAACTATGGGATGGTGGTAAGCCTGGGAAATGAAGGCTGGGTGAGAGGATGGAGAAGGAAAACATGTGTGACCTGACAACTACCCAGAGTGGGTTCTTACAAAACATACTGGAACACACTTGGCTGAAATTTCTCCTCCCTCTTTAGGTCTAAAGGAACAAGCCATGGTCAACCAAAGCTCCTCAGTGGACTTCTTCCTTCTGGGCTTTTCAGAACACCCACGACTTGAAAAGATTCTCTTCGTGGTTGTCTTAACTTCCTACCTCCTGACTCTGGTGGGCAACACACTTATCATCCTGCTGTCCACACTGGACCCCAGACTCCACTCTCCAATGTACTTTTTCCTCTCTAACCTCTCCTTCTTGGACCTCTGCTTCACCACAAGTTGTGTCCCCCAGATGCTATTCAACCTCTGGGGCCCAAAGAAGACCATCAGCTTCCTTGGCTGCTCTGTCCAACTCTTCATCTTCATGTCCCTGGGGACCACTGAGTGCATTCTCCTGACAGTGATGGCCTTTGACCGCTATGTGGCTGTCTGCCAGCCACTCCATTATGCTATCATCATCCACCCCCGCTTATGCAGGCAGCTGGCAGCTGTGGCCTGGGTCACAGGTTTGGTTCAATCAATAGTTCAGACACCACCCACCCTCCACCTGCCTTTTTGTCCTCATCGGCAGATAGATGACTTTTTATGTGAGGTCCCAGCTCTAATTCGACTCTCCTGTGGGGACACTACCTACAATGAGATCCAGATGGCCATTGCCAGTATCTTCATCTTAGTTGTGCCCCTCACTCTCATCCTTGCCTCTTACAGTGCCATTGTCAGGGCAGTGCTGAGAATTAACTCTGCAAAGGGAAGGAGGAAGGCTTTTGGGACCTGCTCCTCTCATCTTATGGTTGTCATTATCTTCTACAGCTCAGTCATTGCTGTCTACCTCCAGCCCAAAAATCCCTATGCCCAAGAGAGGGGCAAGTTCTTTGGTCTCTTCTATGCTGTGGGCACTCCATCACTTAACCCTCTCATATACACCCTGAGGAATAAGGAGGTAAAGAGAGCATTTATGAGGTTGTTGGGAAAGGATAGAGACTCCATGGAAAACTGAGGGATAGCAGCTTAAGGTGCTATCTAAATTAAGAAGTTTCTTTATGCCTTTGTGAATAAGTTTGAGCTCACCAGCACACTGCCTTCTCCACACACACCTAAGCCATTTCAGTGGATCACAGTGTGACTATGTAGTATATAAAAGAATCAGAGAGAGAGAGAGGCTATGTTAAGAGGAGGTAAGATCTCTATAAGATGACTTTATCTCAAATAATACCATGCCTGTAATTTTTTTAATGTTTCCTCTTTTCTCCATCTTGTTTTTACTGTCTTTACCTCTATTGCAGATTCCCCAGTTCTAGTATGCTCATTTCTGTCTATACAGTTTTGCTTCAGTTGTATCAAAGTAGTGTAACAGCTCCCCCATGGCACTCGGGAAACATTACATGTATCCACAGAGGTCACACAAGCAAAACTTGAGTCCCAGCTAATCTGAGATTTGGAAGAATTCTGTTTTGATCTTCTAGTGCCAGGTTTGACTCGACGGCACATAACAACAACAACAGTGCTTCTCTAACAGACACACAAATGGCTGGCTGTAACAAACAGGGATTCACTCTCTTACAGTTTAGGAGGCTAGGAGTCTGAGTTCAAAGTGCCAGCTCTAGGGGCTGGGTGAAATGCCCTCAACCTTGGGCTTCAGCTCTGCCTCTTGCTCCCAGCCCACTGTAGCTAGAAGTTTCTCTTAACTCAAGCAGCTTCTAGCTGCTGAGGCTGACAAATCCAAGGTCAACAAATAAAATGGCACAGTCACAAGATTGCCAAACAACACAGCAGGCCACTTGTTCAAGTCCGTTAATAATCCCAAGATTGGCAGACAGTATGGAAGGCCACTGAGATGGAGACTTGGCTACTTGCAGGGTCCACACATGTCAAAAATCTGCAGAGACATTTCTCAAAGCTGCTTCTTACTTATATACTGGATGTGCTTATATACTGGAAGCAGAGCACATTCCTAAGGCAGCTACTTAGCTGCTCCAGTAGATTCCACCATGGAGTTGATTACCAATCTCACCATGGGGAATAACTACATCCAGCTTCCCAGCCACTCAAAACCAGACCCAGCCAAGTTGACACATACTTAACTATCATGGATGCCTTGTGATCCTCTCAGAACTAGTAGTTGCCTCATAGCCATCTCTCTCTTCTCTTCATATCTTTGAGAGGTTATCAGGAAAGAGTTTCCTATTATTTCCCAGGTTCTGATGAAGAATGAGGCTTTTTGTCCCATGCCTCTTATGAAATACTTGCAGAACATAGTAAGACTTGGTTGCAGTCTAGAATTGGCTCCTGAGCAATGAGATATCTCACAATTCACACTGCAGTCATATGGTCCCTTTTGTTTCCATTTTATGCTTTTAAGTGTGTGGGGCAAGGACTCAAGAAACTGGCACCAATATGGCAGCATTGAGGAAGAAAAAGACATAGAGAGGTACGTGGGAGGTACAGACAACAAAGATGAACCCTTTTGCACACTGCTTTGTCAGTGAAGGCAAACATGGTATATGGGTGGTTAGATGGGTAGACAGGCTGAACTATTAGGTATGTCTATGAAATGGGGAGTGTTTCCAAGAACATGTATAGGGTTGTCAGACAATGGTCCTATAAGTTTATGTGAATGATCAAAATTCCCAGGTGTATAATAGAGCTAACAAGGGGCAAGGTTGTGGTCACTGCTTGGTCACAGCCAGCTACCCAGAGGAACCAAGTAGTTGAACCTGTGGGCTTGGGACCATAGTCACAGAGGACATCAAGCTCAATTGGTATAACATACTACACAAAACATTGTTCTACCTCCTACTTTGGCAAGTAGCAACTGGGATCTTAAAAGCTAGCAAGCTGCCATCTAGATGCAACAATGGGTCTCTCCTCATCCAGAGCAAAGAAGAATGAAGAAAAATAAAATTCATGGAAACAATTAGTCCTAGCGACTGGTACACTATCTGATCTGCAGCCTATATGACTATGAGACCAGAAGAACTAGATGGTGCCCAGCTACCACTGTCATCCACTTGGAAGGGGAATCTATGATAAAGAGGGAGAACAATGTGGAACAAAACTCAAAATCATTTGGAGGAAAAAAAAGGAGGGGGGACCAGGTTCCTGGTGGAACCACTGAGACTATGGTCCCTAGCTGCCCTTCAGGTCTGGAATTGAACCCACACCTGTGGTTTCCAGCCAAACAAAAGACAGGCATATGAGTTGAACATTTACCTGAGGTAGATACACTCCTTGGAAAGAACAATCATGGGAGAAAGAAGGGCTGCTTATGCACAGGGAGACAGCTCAGGGGGTAGGAGTGTATGGAGGGATGGACACTGGGAAGAGGTAACTATGGGGAGGAAGTGGGAGGGGAGCTGTTGCATTGTGGTAAACTGTGGTCAATGTCATGAGACAAAGTGTATGTGAACTGCTGTATAGAAAGTGAATTTGCTCTGTAAATCTTCACCCAAATCACAATAAATAAAATAAAGAAACCCAAGGAGGGGTCACTATGAGTCGGATCCGGAAAAAAAAAAAAAAAGCTGGCACCTTTGGTTACTCTTTCTTTTGCTGTTTATGTTAGTAATGTGGTTGTTAGGTGCTGTTGAGTCTATGCCCAACCCATGGTGACCCCATACACAATAGGATCTGACCACTGAGGTTTTCATAGACTGCTTTTATGGAAGTAGGTAGTCAGACCTTTTTTGCACATAAGGAATAAACTGTCTGAACTAAAAGTGGCTCATAGTATCTTGACCAGCAAATGAGTCAGGCTTTGGCTTGCCTTGCCTATCAGGTGTGTGCTTGACCATCATCACCATCTCCTTATCTTCATTTCTGATTCCTACCATGTTGTTTTGGTTACTTCCTGCTGCTGTAACAGAAAATAAACCACAAATGGGATGGTTCTAACAAATCGGAGTTTATTTTCTTACAGTTTGGAGGCTAGAAGTCCAAGTTCAAAGCACCAGGCTCTAGGGGCTGGGTGAAAGTCCCTTGACCTTGGGCTTCAGCTCTGCCTCTTGCTCCCAGCCCACTGAAGCTGAAGGCTTTCTTCACTCAGGCAGCTGCTGGCTGCTAAAGCTGACAAGCCCAAGGTCAACAAATGAAAATGGCACAGTCTTGATATTACCAAAGATTTTTACTTATGTTTTATTGAGTATGCAAAAGCATTCTATTGTATAGATCATAAAAAATTATGGATAACACTGAGAAGAATGGGAGTTTCAAAACACTTAATTGTACTCATGAGAAACCTGTAAATAGTTCAGGAGGTTGTTGTTCGAACAGAACAAGGGGATACTGCATGGTTCAAAATCAAGAAGGGAGTATGTCAAGGTTGTATCTTTTCACCATATGAGGTGGTTAAGTTTATGTATCAACTTGGCTAGGCCTGGTTGAGTGGCTGGGCCGCTGGATGTAGTATTCCCCATGATGAGCCTGGTAATCGTCTCCATGGTGGAATCCACTGTGAGCAGCTGAGTAGCTGCCTTTGGGTACGTGGGCTGCTTCCCACATATAAGAAGCAGCTTTGGGAATGGTCTCTATCTTATGACATGCTTGAACCTTGCATGTAGCCAAGTCGTTGTTCAGCAGCCTGCCATGCTCTCCCGACCTTGGGACTTTCAATGGGCTTGAATTAATGGCCTGCCGTGTGGTTTTGTGACATCGGGACTGTGCCATTTTATTTGTCGACCTTGGGTTTGTCAGCCTCAGCAGCCAGTAGCTGTCTGAGTGAAGAGATGCCTCTAGCTTCAGTGGGCTGGAAGCAAGAGGTAGAGCTGAAACCCAAGGTCAAAGGGCTTTCACCCAGCCCCTAGAGTCTGGCACTTTGAATTTGGACTTCTAGCCTCCCAAACTGTAAGAGAATAAACTCCTGTTTGTTCAAGCCATCTCATTTGTGGTATATTCTTGTCAGAGCAGCACTAGGTAACCAGAACACCATACTTATTCAATTTGTATGCTGAGCAAATAAACTTGAGAAGCTGGACTATATGAAGAAGAATGTGACATCAGGATTGGAGGAAGACTCACTAACAACCTGTGGTATGTAGATGACACAACTTTATTTGCTGAAAGTGAGGATGACTTGAAGCACTTACTGATGAAGATGAAAGACTACAGTCTGCAGTATGGATTTCACCTCAATACAAAGAAAACAAAAATCCTCACAACTGATCCAATAAACGGCTTCATGGTGTATGGAGAAATGATTGAAGTTGTCAAGGATTTCATATTACTTGGATCCACAATCAACACCAGTAGAAGCAGCAGTCAAGACATTAGACAACGTATTGCATTGGGAAAATCATCTGCAAAGACCTTTTTCAAGTGATGAAGAGCAAAGATGTCTCCTTGAAGACTAAGGTGCACCTGACCTAAACCACTGTACTTTCAATCACTTCTTATGCATGTGAGAGTTACAATGAATAAGGAAGACCAAAGAAAAGTTGATGCTTTTGAATTGTGGTGTTGGAGAAGAATGCTAAGAGTACCATGGTCTGTTAAAAGAACTAACAAATCTGTCCTGGAAGAAGTGCAGGAATGCTCCTTGGAAGCCAGAATGGCCAGACTTCATCTCATCTACTTTGTCATGTTGTCAGAAGGAACCATTCCCTGGAGAAGGATGTCATGCTTGGTAAGGTGGATTGTTGATGAAGGAGGGGAAGGCCCTCAACGGGATGTATAGACACCGTGGCTACAATAATGGGCTCAGGTATAACAAGAATTGTGAGGCTGGCACAAGACCAGGCAGTGTTTCATTCTGCTGTGCATAAGGTCGCTATGGGTCAGAGATGACTTGATGGCACCTAACAACAACAACAACAATATTACCAAACTACACGGCAGGCCATTGATTCAAGTCCATTAAGAGTCCCAAGATCAGTAGTCAACATGACAGGCTGCTGAATAATTACTCAGCTATATGCAGGACTCATGTGTCAAAAGCTAGCAGACCATTCCAAAAGCTTCTTATATATGAGAAGCAGACCACATCCCTAAAACAGCTACTCAGCTGCTCGCAGT